GGAGACCCGTATTGTACCTGTCTCTTTTCCCCATTCCTGGTTTTAAACCAACCTGGGCCCCGTTCACACGGAGCATTTGCCGCGCTAAAGATACGGATGATAGGCGGATTTTCCGGGCACGATCACACCGCAACATCTGGGAAGCGTAGTGCTCCCGTGGCTAACCCGTGGCTAACCTTGGCTTCCCGCCGAAGATGCGGATTAAAAAACTAGTACTTACGAGGTACTAGTTTCCGGAAAACGCGGGGCAAGGGCAGGTGTCTGATTGCGTCCCGTCGCAAACCGGTTACTTTTTTTTTTTTTAAGTCTGCACAGGATGCGCACAAACGATCATGTGCATGCTCACCTTTTGGTGAGAAACAAAAATATTCCCGTTTGCCACGGAAGCGGCGCCTAGCGATTGCTGGTGTGATCGCACTGCACCGCTTCTTTGCCACGTAGCAGGATAGCCGTGTGATCGGCACCTCACGCCCTAACCACGGGACCTCGATGGGATGTGTGATCGGGCGGCCGTGCGTTATTTTGCTCCGGGGCAAACAGCCATGCTTCCCCCCTGCATTTTCCGGCCCGTGTGACCGGGGCCCAAGGTTAGGAGTAATTTTCAATTGTGGGGGTAGAAGAGGACCAAAGAATGCCCCCCATATCACCCTGGCCTCTTCTCCTTCCCCGGCTGCTGCTTTTTGAAGCCAGACCAGGTGTCTGAGGATCTGAGCACAGGTGTCATATGTAGTCAGTTGCAGTGGTAATTTTTAAAGAGGGATCATGTGTACATCTGTGTTGATTCATGAAAAATTGGTCTCTGTCCAGAAAAAAAGTACGGTTAATTTCTGCTATTTTGCTTTCTCCAAGGATAGCCAGTACAATGCAGCAGCATGCTGATTTGTCTCTTCCCGACCCCACTTGTTAGACCGAAGTCAGTGAGACCCAGCAAGAGACAGCTGCCTGAGCATCTTCAGTTCCCGGAGCTGAGTTTTCTGGTCTTGCCCAAACCAGATCTCAAGGACAGACAAGCACAGCAGACTGCAAGGACTAAACAGCTTCCTCTTCCTTCAGCAACCAACACCAAGCTTAGAAGAGCCAATTAAGTGTCCTGCTGGGTTTAGGCCTTGGAGGAAAAGGAAGTTGTCTCCCTGAGTATCTTTCTCTATCCCAGTTTTACAAAAAGGTCTAGCCTGGCCAACTCTAGAAGGAATAAAAAGCAGGCTGTGTCTAAAAAACAAACCAAAAAGCCTGTAGCCAGCAGATGTTGTTCAGTCATGCATTTGAACCAAATATTTTAATAGCCCGCAAGATTCTCATGAGCAGTGTCATCTGTATTGTGTGAAAGGAGCATCATCATTAACTTGAAGGAGCTTTCCTGAGGAGGTTCTTTTGTATATGGCTTGTTTCCTGTGGTTTCCTGAGGAGGTTCTATTAGCATGTTCACAGCCTGTTCATTATCCTAGAAGATAATGACTCAGCCCTACCCCACCTTCCTGAGTAGATATAAATTACCTGCCTACCATTTTCTTCTCACCTGACACAGAGAGTACTCCAGCTTTCTGTGTTATACCTCTGAGGATGCCAGTCACAGCTACTGGCGAAACATCAGGTCCTACAATGCCCATGGCCATACAACCCGGAAAAACTATAACAGCTAATGAACTCCGGCTGTAAAAGCCTTCAACAATAGTTAGCCCCTTTCTTTCCCACACATTCTGGAAATATTGACCTAGTCTGTAGGGTTGGGTTGCAGATTCCTTTTGTTAATGATTAGCTAAAACTCTGCTCTTTGCCCCCAAAAGGAAAGAAAAGCTATCAACACAAATATCACTTCAGTTCCTATCCAGGCATGGTAGAGAAATGATAATAGTAACATTAAGCTTTTAAATTTCTTCCATGGCATTTAAAGTACTTGGCATATACATCCTTATACTAATAGCCAAGTTGCCCCCTCCGTGCGGATATCTATATCTGCACTTTGGGGGCACTTGGGGGGCAGGGGGAGGTTTGTGCATACGTGGGGCAGTCCCCACATGTGCACAAAAATAAAAAAAGTTAAAGGGGGGGGGGGGGGGGGGGGGATACCTAAGGCTACACAGTAAGTACATGGCTATAAAAGGTAAGGAGTTTTCTGCAAGATCACACATTTTACAAGCAGGTCTTGTAAAGTGTGCCTATAGCCCACCAAGGGACAGCTGGATTGCTGAGGGCCAGTAAGAGCATTTCCCTTCCCCCGCTTCTAGCTCCTTAGAAAGGTGAGCAGCTTATGCAACAGGTAATTGAACCTTCATGCATTTCTCTGCTCACAGGCCTTGCAGTTTCTATGCCAAGCAGCTTTAGCCATGATAATCTGCCTCAAGCAGGATCAGCTCAGGAGCCTCTTGACTGACATCCTCTGTAAGGGAAATTCTAAGATTCCAGTAAGGCGCAACAATAATTGTCCATCACTTTCCTCTCAAAGACACTTTAAAGACCAGCTTGCATACTCTGTCACAATGGTTGAAAAGACTAAAATGGATTTCCCTCCTACTTCCTTTCTAGGTGTGTTTGTGTATAGAATGGATATATATATATCCATATATCCACTGAGACCACAACTGGTTGGTCACTATTCTACATTTATTGCTGTGCAATCAGAGAGTTTACCTTGTGCCTCTCTCTTTCCGTTCCAGTCGCACATAACTAGGGTGGCTGCCCTGTTTTCAAACACTCTGTGCAGCAGTTAAACCAGCGCTGAACTCTTTCTTCATTGCCAGACCCCACCCCTCTGAGCAAATCCCAGCCACAAGCCATGGGCAATCCATCCCAACCTCATCAGCTCCCCCAGAAGCTTGTCTGCCACCTCTGTACACTCACCGGACGCTCTGTAAGACCTGCTGCCACATGTCTGCAAGAAAGCCCTGTGAATAATAGATCAGCTTGGCACAGTTCTAGCCCGGTGCAAAAGCCCTTCCAGGCTCACCCGGCTTCAGTTGCCTTCTAGCCTGTAACTCTAGGCTGCAGCAACAGAGAGAGTACGCACAGATAACAGTGCCACCTACTGCCCAAGACTTACATGGTTGTGACAACATAACATAGCTATCCATTTCCTTCTTGAAGAACAGAGTAAAGTTATATTACAGTGGGAGACTCCTTCCCATTCAAGCTTCTTTAGACATGGGGGTTATAGTGTCTTGCTCTTTTCTACTGCTACAGAAAGACTAACACGGCTGCCCATCTTGAACTACCTCCTAAACTGTGTTACCCGCTTCAACATTGATCATGTAACTCTGGATAGGGTGACAATAGCATGAGCCCTGCTGGATCAGACCAGCTGTCCATCTAGCCCTGCATGGTACTTCCCAGTGGCCGATTGGATGCCATCGAAAGCCCACAAACAAAGGCACAGAGGCCAAAGCTTCCATCTGCTGTTGTGCCTTTGCCTCTGAACATGGAAGTTCCACTTAATTGTCATGACTAATTGGTTTAAATAGGGATTCATGGAGGAGAGCCAGCAAGTTGCCATTAATACATCATGTGGCAGTAAACCCGACAAGTCAATTATGCATTGTACAAAATAGTGCTTTGTTTTGGCTCTTCAACTTCACTTGATACCTCAGAGTTCTACAATTTTGGGAGAGAGAGAGAGAGAGTTTCCACTTATCTACACCACTTCTTTATACTTCTCTTATTTATTTTAAATATGTATATCCTACCTTATCTCATGTTTGCATATGTAACTGCCTTATACTGGACTAGCCTGCTATCCGTGCTTCACTATGGTATTTAAGTTCTGTAAATCCAGTTATAATACTGATGATGTGAAATTTGAAATGTGACATTTGTTGTAGGAATTCTAACAGAGAAGATTGTAGTGTAAGAAATGAAGTGAGAAATACGTACTTATTTTTTCTCTACCGAAGGACCTCTCTCTAGACCACATTGGTGGTTCTGCCCTCAGGTGCTAGGATCACCAGGCTGCTTGATGAGCTCACTCTGGAGCAGGCAACATAGAACTGTCCACGTGAGAAGCAGTCGTCTGTTACGTCCACTCCTGCTACCTTCCACGAAAGTGATGGCCTCTCTACTTGTGTTCCTGGATTGTTTTGCTCATATGGAGACTGTGTTGTTCTGAGCACCTCAGGGTGATCTTGCTGGTACTTGGCCTGTGCAGCTCAGTGCACTGCAGGAATACTTTGTGCAAATGTCTTTGCTGCATTCCCAAGTTGCCTCCTCCTTGTAGCGTTGGTATATCTGGCTCAACATTTGCCAGGAGCTTTCTTGGGGGCAGTAAGAGGTGAGAGGTGTGAGGGGGAGTTGGTGTGAGGAAGTGGTGATGTGGTGGACATTTCTTCAGGTTCATGAGGGAGGCACGCATTGAAATGGCACCTAGAAATTTCCTTTACTTCCCTTACTATCTCCCCATAAACATTCATACCCCCTGGCCCTACTCCTACACCTGACAGACACCGGCCTGTCTGGTGTTGGGGAGGATTGTATTTAAAGGCATCATGGAGGCTGGGCCAGCAGCAGTGCTAAGGCAATCCTGCTGAGCAAACCTCACCGACAGCTGTAAGCATCCCAGCTCCTCTCCTACACCTGACAGGCAGCTGCCTGTCCAGTGTAGGACGGGGAGGGGGGAGGAGTATTAGAAGCCATTGTGGAGGCAGGGCTGGCAGGATGACTAAGCCCTCATGGCTTGAAGCACTCTGTAACCGCTGCTGCACCTGATAGACAATTGCCTGGTTGGTGTAAGAGGTGGGGAGAGTGTGTTGGAAGCCATCCCACCTCCTCTCCTACGCCTGACAGGCAGCTGCCTGTCCAGTGTAGGAGCGGGAGGGGTATTAGAAGCCACTGTGGAGGTGGGGCTGCACCTGACAGACAACAGCCTATTAGGTGTAGGAGGTGGGGGGAGTGTGTTGGAAGCCATCCCACCTCCTCTCCTACACCTGACAGGCAGCTGCCTGTCCAGTGTAGGAGGGGGAGGGGTATTAGAAGCCACTGTGGAGGTGGGGCTTTACCTGACAGACAACCACCTGTTAGGTGTAGGTGGAGGGAGTGTGTTGGAAGCCATCAGAGCGGCTGGGTCAGCAGCTTTGCTTCACCTCACAAGTGGTTGTTGGCCACTTCTGATTTCCTCAACTGTCATTAGCTGTCTGCAGTCCCCTGTAACTTGGTTGTTTTTTTTTAAAACCTCAGAACACTGAGCTGTGCAGCTGACCAATCAGAGAGTGGGGGGTGGAGGTCTGGGAGTCGCATAGGAATAAATGGGGGGAGCACATTTTACCCCCTTTGACCCCCTTAGGGGTCAAATTTCTAAAAATTCCTTCTTAGTGATCACCTATGCCATGGTGGGAGCGCTCTCACCGAATTTGGTGTTTCTAGGTCCAGCGGTTTGGCCTAAGCGTTGATTTTACGGTGATGGGACTTTCTTTTATATATAGAGAGATGAGACCCTGGACTCCACTGAGGTCAGCATTGTCTACTCAGAGAAGCAGCAGCTGTCCAGGGTCTGAGGTAGAGGTCTTTCACATAATCTACTACCTGATCCTTTCAACTGGAGATTGAACCTGGGACCTTCTGTATGTCAAGCAGATGCTCTACCACAGAGCCATGGTTCTCTCCTTAGGCTCAAGGCAGCAAACAACCTCAATATGTCTTTCCTGGCCTTTTATCACTATTGCAGACCCTTTTATGTATTGAAAGGCAGGAGATGATTATCAATACAAGGCTTTTATTCAGAACATTACTCAGCTCTAATCTGAGTCTGCGGAGAGCGGCATCCAAATGTATACTGTTCCAAACTGAACTACAGGGGTCATTTCGTAGAAAAAGAGCTAGGGGGACTCATTAGCATAGCTCATTAGCATATGCCACACCCGCTGACATCACCGGAAGTGTGTCCTCCCCACAGCCGGCGGCGACCTCCAGCGGGCACCGGCAGGGAGCTCCAAGCCCCGCCCTCCCGCACCTCACCCGGGGGGATGGCGTCCCCCCACGTCCCCCCCAAATGACCCCTCCTGAACCATATACAATGTAACTACTTTCATGAGGTCTGATTGGACCTAAGTGGAGCTTTCTGATAGGATACTCTGCATGGCTTTAGGACCACTAGAAGGTCTTTATTACACAGCCAATCACAACAGAGGAAACTAGGATACCTTAGCACAAACCATAACTAAACATCTTAGAAATAACTCAGAACATAACAGACCCTATTAGTGAATATATAACATTAGGCATTTTTGCCCTAATATGCAACACTTTATACTTGCTTACCTTGAACCTCATGTGCCGGGATGTTGCCCACTCACCCAATTTGAAAAACTCCTTTTGGAATGCTAGATAATCTGGTTTGGTTTTCACTATCCTGAGTAATTTGGTGTTGTCTATAAAGCTTTGCCACTTCACTGCTCACACCTGACTTTAATCATGAACGGACAAATTAAATAGTACAAGTCCTAATACTCCACAGTTTATTAAGGAGACTTGTTTGTTTATTCCTGCTTTCTGTTATTTAACCAGTTACCAGCCTGTAAGAGAACCATCATCTTATTCCATTAAAGCTAAATTTATGCAGGATTGTTTGGTGAGTCACGTTATTGAAAGGTTTTTGGAGGTTCAAATGTATTCCTACCAGCATGGCCTACTCCTTGTATCTTAGCCATTTTTATGTACCCAGGATGGTTGCAATCACTTGAATTTGTAATTTTGAAATGCAAAGCTGGTATACCTATTGGAACAAAAACAAAAGTATTCAATTATGCTGTATGATAATTTACTGCTCACCCTCTACCTATATGTATGGACTAGTAATTTCCATTTTTGTTTCTGTCTCTGTCTTGACTCTAATTGGCCCTTCCCGGCAACTAACTTCCCCTTCTATATGCAATGGTTGAGGAAATTATGTTTCACTGTATCTGATAAAGTGTGCTTGCACACTGAATAAAATTTTTGTTGGTCTTAAAGGTGCCCCTGGACTCACAGTTTGTTCTGCTTCAGACCAACACGGCTGCGCACCTAAAAATATTTTCTGTTATATTGCAACCCTTAGTGGCCAAACTGCTGAACTGCAGGGATAGTGGCTTTTACTGAATATCATAGCAATCCACACCTGAAGATGGTATATATTTTAAGCATTCACACATTGATGTGTCCATGTGGTGGACATGTGATTGCCATAGGGCTGCCACCTCCAGGTTGGGAAATACTGCGAGATTTTCAGTGTGGACCCTGAAGAGGATGGGATTTGAGGAGGGGAGGGAGTTCCGTGGGGTGTAATGGCATAGAGTTTTTCCTTCCAAAGTGGCTATTTCCCCCAGGTTAGCTGATCTGTTTCACCTAGAGATCAGCTGTCATCCCAGGGGATCTCCAGCCACCACCTGCAGGCTGGCAAACCGAGGTCACCATGAGGACTTTGGAGCAGATGTATGCCTGGAATTCTGTTTTGTGAATCTACTTCCTAGGCACGTGGGGGCACAATTCAGATCTCCAGGTTGGGAAATACTGGGAGATTTTCAGTGTGGACCCTGAAAAGGACGGGATTTGAAGAGGGGAGGGAGTTCCGTGGGGTATAATGGCATAGAGTTTTTCCTTCCAAAGTGGCCATTTCCCCCAGGTTAGCTGATCTCTTTCATCTAGAGATCAGCTGTAATCCCAGGAGATCTCCAGCCACCAGGGGATCTCCAGCCACCACCTGCAGGCTGGCAAACCGAGGTCACCATGAGGACTTTGGATGTATGCCTGGAATTCTGTTTTGTTAACTTACTTCCTAGGCACGTGGGGGCACAATTCAGATCAGGACCTTAGTACACAAGAAGGGGCTTCAGCTCCAGCCTCTTCCTATACCAGTTTCCCCAACTAAAACGGCCCCAGGGAGATGCTGTTTGCCCCAATGGGGAAATTTATGTGTAGTTGGCAGTACATGTAAGCTTCCTCAAAAGACAC